CAATGGATACCAACTACAGCCAGTTCAGTGACAGCTATCAAACTCAAAACCAGCTGCATTCATTTCAGACGCCAAGAAGTAACTTGGATTTTCAGCCCTGATTGTTTAGAATACATTAAAAAAATGGGAGAAAAAAAACCCCAAAGCAGTATTAGTAATAATATTATCTATTTTAGCTTGACATTATCCAATACTTCTTGTGTACCTGAGTGCCAAGGCAGTTGACCACTTGTAACCTCCAGTCCAGTTGCAATAGAGCATCTTGGGAAAGACACGGTTACCTAAACATCAGAAAACATTCAAACCTTAATGCAACAAAGGCCACATAATGAGTAAGAAAATACAGTATTTCTCTAACAAGAGTCTAAAAGTGTTGACACTAATTGAACAAACACTGTCAACACAAAAGCTCACACGTACCCTGTTCCATCAATCTATGTCCCACAACAGAAAACATGCAAGGCCACTGAACAAGTAAGGGGAAAATAAGGTGGATGAAACCAACATTCATTTCTTAAAATTATCCTACTGAGACAGTTGATATTAGTTCTAGTAGTGAAGTCCAAAGTAGATTAATTCATAAAGTTGACAAAAATAAAAGAACTATTTTATCTCACGTGACAGTATTAAAGGCCAATGTTCACAGCTGCATGTCTGACTAACAGTCATAACAGACTATTATTCTTAAAAATTAAAGTGTGACAATAAAAAAATTCAACAGATTGATCAAGGTGCAGGCTCTTACTGCCACGGACATAAACCAGCACTGTATTTACCCATTAGAGAATCTGTGTTTGCCCACCTTACCTAGACAATGCACATTATCCCGTACGGTGCAAGTGGCATTATAGCGCTGACGGGGACAAGAAACTGTCATGCAGCTTGTAGAATTGGTGCACACATAATCAGTTGTTGCAAGCTGCCAGCAGAACTGGCAGGTCATGTTAATTGTAAAGTTCTCCTGCTCTTGATTATTCTGATCCTAGAAAGGGACAGCGTTATCACTTCACTGGTAATTAAGAAAACCCACAGCATACAGCATCAGATTACATTTCATGGGTAGATATTTTGGGCAAAATAGCAATTACCCTCTTTGCTACCTCTATATACTCAAGGACAATAGAAAAATCAATATTAGAAAACTGATAAAGAGTTATTAAAACGGTTTAACATTACTGCTTCCTCCCACCTAAGGCTACTGCCAAAAGGAGGACTCAGTCTCACCTGTAAGAGCAGTCTGTACCTCTGAGGGCCATTTAGCCTCCCCACACTTTAAACGGTTCAGTTTTGACTGGCCAGCTAACTGATTTAAGTGAACTACATGGCTGTATAATGAGAGCCAATGCAAGAAAGGCACAACAGAGAGGGTAGGTCTGCCTCTTCAGCAACAGCTGAATGATTAAATGTGTCACAGAGCTGCAAACCTGCTCGTGTAAGAAAGAAAATAAGTCTTTTTGTACTTTATGACAAGATGCCACAGTTTAATTAAATTACTTAAATTTGGGCTTAAAAGTAACAGGTTACTTACCACACAGTGAACATGTGGCTTGACTTTACAATCAAAAGTGGCCGGCTTCCCATATATACAGGAATAGTTTGTGTTACATGTCATACAGTCTGGTGGCAATCTACTGCAAAGCCCATTGCTAGGACATTTAGTCACATAAGATGGAATTTCTGTACTTTCTGAAAGGTGAAAAAATGAGTAAAATCAAGAAAGCAAGTAAGAAAGCTATACAGTCTAAAGTACATATATACATGTTACACATATACATGTTATTTAATGCATGTATGTATTCGTTTATATGTTATACAAATACACGTGACTGACACTGTATGAAGGGCTTTCCTTATTACCCAGTGAACAGCATTACAAGGTCATGTCGTGGGAACCACTGCAATAGCCAAGTGAGCTCCACAACCCAGCAGGGAGGAGCTCCACAACCCTGCAAGGATCTCACGGAAGGTCTGCCCAGGACAGCACAGCAACACGACTCAATGCAGCACCAGAGCAGGGCTTCGCACAAATTAGTGCCTCCTCAGCCGGGATTTCTCAGCAGAAGTAATCAGCTTAGGTACGGAAGCAGGTTGACACATAAAACCTCCTTTTAGTTCAGGTCTAATTAAGTTTACAGCTAGCTCAGCTGTGTGCTGTTCGTATGCATTCAGAATCATCTCTTAAATTACTTGCAAGAACAGTGTTTCAGCAAATCCTGATGCACCCCTGAGTGAGCTACAAAAGCTGTACTGACGTTGGAGAGGGAGCAGTAACACAGTCTTGCTGAATGCTGGAGTCTTTCAAGAACTTCCACTGCCCTGAGAGGGTATTAAACATGACCCACAATGGCAGTTTAACTGGTCGTTTTCTAGTTATAAGATCTTACATGGACCAGTTTTTCTAATTATATTACCCAAAACTGATTGTTAAGGTCACTGGAGAATCAGGTCATGAAGTGTTACACTACAGTGTCCTTTACCACTGAAAGCATACACAGCTTTCTAAGGCATAATTCAAGAACTTTACTATTAAAGTCATTCAGTTGAATTCAGAGGAAGAAGGCCCACAGAAGAAAGACAAAGGCAACAACACAATGTCATACCTGCTTCTTTTAAGTAGGGGGGATCCGTGCTTGTTGAAGTTAGACTTTTTGCAAATGTAGACTGGGGCTGTGAATGCTTTGTAGTCATCAAAGATCCTGCTACAAGTTCAAAAAGGAAGAAGTGATGTTTCAAGAATAACATTAATCTTCAGAAACAGATTTCAGCAAACTGACAGTACAAGCTGAAAGGGTAGGAATTAAAAAAACTACAAAATGCGCTTTCCTGCTCTATAAATAGTAGAACGTCTATGTTAAACATTAAATGAGCACTGGACACTAACTGTTCCTTTTAGACAGCAAAAGGTTTGTTTCAATTCAGCCTTATTTTTTGATTCGTAAGGACTCCAAAGCACTGCTCAGAACGCCGATTTCACGCAGCAGTTGCGACTGAACAAGGCCGCTGAAGGCAGCAGTGCAGCTCCCCCTGACAGGGCTGCACAG